CTATTCCGACAGAGGGGTAAGACAGCAGGTATTGGAATGGACATGAGCAACACATCTCGAAGAACAACAGTTACGAGAAGGTTAGTAACCGTTTTTTCTTCTTCGAGTGATTGCTCATGTCAATTCCAACCCAAGCCTAAGTTTTGGGGGTGGGGCCGGGGCTTAAATGTTTGCTGACTGGATTGGCCTGCTGGGTAATTGTATAATGTGATATGGAAGTATGAATGGAGGACCACGTTGCTGCTCTGCATACTTCTTGGGTCAGAACATGTGCCAGGAACACCACTCATGAAGCTGCGCCCTGGTGGAGTGTGCTGTAAGCGAAGGGACTGGTACCTTCGCCAGGTTGTAACATTCCCAGATGCAGAACGTGATCTATGACTAAATCCTTTGGTAGGGGACTGGAAGCCTTTTCATTCTGTCCGCTACTGCAACAAAGAGCTGAATGGATTTCTGGAACAGTTTGGTTCACTTGACATAGAAGGCTAATGCCCGGCGAATGACCAATGAGTGAAGTTTTTGCTCCCTGTTGCTTGAGTGCGGCTTAGGATAGAAAACCAGGAGAAAGATGTCTTGGCTGATGTGAAACTGGGAAACAACCTTAGGAAGGAAAGGTGGCCCCATTAGTCTGGAAAGGACCAGATTGAGGTCCCAAGCTAGGACCAGCTGTCGGACGTGTGGATATAGTCCGTCAAGACCTTTCAGGAAATGGCTGACCATAGGGTAAGCAAAGACCAACCAGCCCTCTGTGCCTGGATGGAAGGCAGAAATGGTGGCCAAGTGAACCTATATTGATGACATGGACAGCCCCTGCTGCTCGAGATGGAGAAGGTAGGCCAGTATAAGGGGTATGGACATGAGTGTCAGAGATGGACAGTGCTGCGCCGACCAGATTGAAAATGTCTTTCATTTAGCCAGTTAGGGAGCCCTGGTGGAGGGTTTCCTACTGCCCAGGAGAACTTGCCTGACTGGGTCCGAACAAGCGAACTCCGTTAGGTTCAGCCATGCAGCTTCCAAGCCATGAGGTGCAGTAACTCCACGTTCAGGTGCTGGGGATAGCCGTGACCCTGTGTTATCAAGTCCAGGAAGAGCGGCAAGGTGATTGGGGCTTCAACGGACATTTTGAGGAGAGATGTGTACCAGTGTTGACGGGGCCAGGCTGGAGCTATTGATATCACCGAGGCCTTGTCCCTCCGAACTTTGAGGAGCGCTGTGTGAACGAGAGGGATGGGAGGAAACGCATAGAAGAGGTGGCCCCCCAAGGAAGGAGGAACACATCCGCAATAGAGCCCAGGCTGTGATTAAGGAAGGAGCAAAACTGCTGGCACTTCCTGTTGCATTGCATGGCGCACAGGTCTATCTGGGGAAAGCCCCACTGTTGGAAGATGAAGTTTGTGACGTCTGGGAGCAGGGACCACTTGTGGCCTTGGAATGACCTGCTGAGATAGTCCGCCAACTCGTTCTGTACTCTGGGGAGGTATGATGCTTCCAGGTGTATCAAATGAGCTACACAAAAGTCCCACAGCATTAGGGCTTCCTTGCAAAGGGGAGAGGAGAGTGAACCCCCTGTTCGTTTATATAAAATATCGCTGTGGTGTTGTCCATCATAACCAATACACATTTCCTGCCAGGTGGACACAGAAGGTCTGACATGCTAGGTGGACCGCTCTCAGCTCTCTGACATTGATGTGGAGAACAAGCTCCGCCTGACACCAGAGATCTTACGTCCTAAGGACTCCCAGATGTGCACCCCACCTCAAGGCTGATGCATCCATCACCAGCGAAAGGGATAGCTGAGATGTGGTGAAGGGAAGTCATGCACACACCACCTGCAGGACGAGCCACCACAGGAGGGAGTCGAGGACCTTATGAGGCAGAGTGACAACCCTGTCCAAATTGTCCTGAACCGGCTGATGTACTGAGGCTAGCTACAAGTGGACACTGCAAAAAGACGCTTGCTGAGGCAAGAGCTAAAGACATAACCGTCACTGGCAGTTAGAAGGAACTGAGGGGATGGCAGGTAGGCAGGGCTCTATATTCAGTGTCATGAAGGCATGACCCCGGGGAGGGGGCCCAGGCCGACCTGACAGATATTGCTGGAGAACTTTTCAGGCTGCCATGCACGCAGCGCATGCACACCTACTTGGAATTGACATGAGCAATCACTCAAAGAAGAACTATTTTTGCCCATGCTATTGGACTGACACATCTCATTATTAATGTTATCTTAAATGACACAATAGCTAGAAACATTATCAGCTGCAGATACTGAGAATCACAACTCCAACCCCTCAATATGGCAACAGAATATGCCAAATCCCTGTGACAATTTTAGAGGTTCTACTTTTGAGGACACAGCCATACTGGCATTCTCCCGTATTCTTTCGGTATTCAGGTTTTTTCCACTGAAGACATATCCATTTTCTTTGCTAATATAGCTCAGCTCAACACAGAGTTCGATGAGCTAAACAGAAGAGAGAGACCAGCCACAGGACTTGAATAGTGACGTGTGTACTGGCCCACAGAGGCCCTGGGGAATCATTCTTCTGGACCTATCATGCCCCCTCCCCCAAATGGATGCTGAGAAGAAACCCAACTATCTCTTCCTCTATTTCAGGATTTTATCCAGAACCAGCGAGGGTTAAACAAGTAGGTTATTTGGCAATTAGGTATTGTTAATATGCCAATTAGGAACCATATAACTGGCTGACCTTTACTGGGTAGGGAGAAGGGAGCTCAGAGATCAGACAGCCCACAAGTAAGGACTCCGACCCATAATGCTGGCCTGAGTGATTTTTCCCCCTGTGCTTTGAAATATTTATGTTTCTTTATTATACTTGCTGCCAGTAACAAACTATAAAGTAACAGTGGGGATGGAGAGGCCCATGTTTAGTTTGTTCTACTAACAGTATAAAATAAACACATCAGTGCAAGAAGTAGGGAAGACAAGATATTTTTCCTGCTGGACCTGTTACTGAGGGGGAAATCTGGGGTCCATTTGGGTGAACTCAATAGGTTATATATAGAACACCAGTGGAGATCAAATCCTGCTAACATTACTCATTTAAGTAGTTCCCTTTATTTCAATGGTGCTACACATGTGAATATGGTGAGGTGGGTTTGGCCCCAGCTGGAGCAAAGTTAAATGAAGAGGAGACCAACAAGTATAATGGCAGCTCAGAATGACAGAGTTAGTAACGCTATGGAGTCCATTTATGCCAGCCAGTGCGGTTGTGACAATGGGCTGAAGAGAGCCATGATGCCTTTCTGGGAAGAGAGAGAGAGAGAGAGAGAGAGAAAATTGCCAGTAAAAGAAAAATCCATTAGCAGGAAGGCCATCAATAGAAGAGATTCCTAGTTGGCGAGGAACCTCCTTGACAGGAAATTCCCTACATTTGTTGATTCTAATCCAACTGACTTGATTTGAATTTGTAACCACCAGATGCAATTCAAGCAACTATGGATATTCGAAAGAAAATAAAATAAAACCTTTTTAAACCAATAAGTAGCATTCTCGTACACAGATAAAAATGATAATCAGTCAAGAAATGGATAAAATTGTCCCCTTCCCCCTCCCCCCCCACAAAAAAAATATTGAAAGACCTCTGGTATCAAGCTGCCTTTCATTTGTATACATATCAGATTATGGAAGATCTCTCTTTATACATTTTTTAAAAAGGATGGCAGCCTCAGTTCAATAGAGTTAGTGAGACAATCCTTTAAGCTGTGTCAAAATGCCAGTTATCCTCAGATGCCACCCAGATTTGAATAATTTTGAGAAAGACAAAACCACAGAAAGGCGGAATCGTCCTTTGACTGCTGCTGCTTTTGACACGGCTGCCTCCCTCTCCTTTTTACCAAAGCATCTTCCTCTCTCTATCAGCCATGACAAGTGCCAATCAAACCTTCTGTTTTCTAAGGTTTTTTGGGGGGAAAAGACACATGAAACATTTTCTAACAATCACTGAAGGAAGGTCTACTATCAGTGTGTGGTCCAGGGGAAGCCAGCCTTTTCCTTTTTCACTTCTAATCTCTGACCCACTGTTTACCTCTTTTTTATATACACTTTAATCTCTCTGTTGCTCCAAAGGATACTAAACAAATTGTAGGTCAGCATGGATTAGGCTGCTTTGTTACCGATGATTAGTACATTTACTTTTGCTTTAACGTCTTCAGCAACAGCTTAATGTCAAAAAGACCCAGCAGAAGTTTGTTTTATCTCAACTGAAACTATATCCACACTGCAATAGAAATGCATTTTCTGGTTCAGAAAAAAACTAGAACACAATGGGTACATACTGCTAATATCTCAACTCTTTTAAGCAACCCCCTTAGTAATTCCAGAGCTCAGAGAAGTCTGTATTAAGCAAGCCTACCACCACATTCTATGCTGTTTTTACCACAGGACAAAAATTAAGCTTCAGAAAGATTTTCTTAAGAGACCAAATTCTGCTCTGATTTACACAGGTGGAAATGAGGAGCAACTCCACTGGCTTCAGAAACAATTCATAAGACAATGCTGTAGACGATTTTGCTAAAAGGGGGTATCCAATTGCTAAGAAAATACATTGAAGTACATGGACAGGGATTAATGAGCAGTATTATTAGATACACTGGGCTAAATTCAGAGGTGAAGTTTAAAGTGGTTGAAATCAGACCTCCATAAGCAACCTATACTCAGGCCAACTCCCATAAGCCTACTTATACCTGCTCTGCTAATGCTTAACGGTGTTGAAGTTAGTGTAACTTACACACTGAGGGACTATAGGGAAGTATAAATGAAAGTACAGTCATACCGATGTAAGTTTATAGCCTAGACCTGGTCTCCATGAGCTGGGAATCATACCCGTAACTTGCAGCATAGACATAGCCTTAGTGACACCAACTTGCACTTCCTTATACATCAGCAAACCTGGTGTAAGCAAGTCTAAGAAGTTTAAGATCTTACCAGCTGCTAGGATCATCTTCCTTTCCCATCGTTCTGGCCAGGTCAGCCCTTGTTTTAATCTTTCCACTGGCACCCCCATTTCCACCACACCAAGTTCAAGGTTTGTGTCATCACCTTCAGGACCCTCTGAATCTCTCCCATTCCCTGCTTGTCTCCTCTCCTCTCTACTTGTGTTGCTCCCCTGCCCTCGGTTCTACCAACAATGCCAGCTTTGGTCTCTATTTGTCTGCATCTCCAACAATCCGCTTCGTTCTTTCTTCCACATCTTCCCTATGTATGTATGGAATGGCATCCATGAACTGACTTATACGCTCTCCTCCTCCTGATTCCCCCTCAAAAACCTCTTCTACTGTGATGCCTACAGGAAATTACCTATCTAATAGCAGCTAGGCAGAGAAGAAGTTGAAGACAGCTGATATTTCTGTCAATTTAACAAAGTTGTATGTTGATCTTTATTTTAGAACTTATTTTTCTGGTTTCCATGACTGGATTAAAATGGTGATACAAATGGCCATGTATAATACAGCCTTTTACTGTCTCTGCATAACAGAAAAATATATACTTTTAAGCTGTTATCCAATAATATTTTTGAAGTTTTAGAAGGTTTAGGAACACACACACACACACACACACACACACAGTCTTACATATCACTTCTGAATCAAAATATTGTTTGTGAAGTGCAATATATACACAGCCAGAGTTAAAATCAGAATGAGAGGGAGAGAGATCATGCACACAAATGCATACACTCCTACAGAAAAATAATTCATTACAAACTAACTAAGGTGACAAATTCAACCAACCACCTTAAAAGTAAGTGTTACCTGGGAATTTACGGTGCTCAGCCGCTCCCAGGATCAGATTCTTTATGTGGACTAATGGCAGAACTCGGAGATCCAGAAAACAAATACACAAGCCAAAAGATCCTATAAACTGAGAGACTAGAAACTTACATCGCATTTTATTTGGGGACAAGCCAGTGATTTGATAATGAATCACTATCCTGTATTATTACAAAGGTAGGCTATGCACAATAATAAGAAAACAAACACAATTGTTCAAAAGTTCATAAGCTTACCTGTATCAAACTGAGCCTTGTTCATGTGTCCAACAGAGAGAGGGTCCCTACTCTCCAGCGTGGATTCAGTTTCATTCAAGCCTGTCAGACATCATTAATATAAGCAAGACTGAAGAAATACCAAAAGTTTTTCTAAGATTCTAAACATGAAATTGCTTATAAATATAATTCACAAGCCAGTACAAAGGCATTTTCACCACATTATTCCAATCAAAGCAACCAACCCCCCCCCAATTCTAAACTAAAGTTCAATATAAAACTTTGTTAGATTAATGGAATCCTGAGTACATATTTTTCTGTCAATCAGAGGAAGTAAAAGGCTTAATTATCAAATGTGATAACCATGCACTGCCTCTGGAATGTATTTATTTAATAGTTTTTAATGCGTTATCCTAATTTATCTGGCAAAGTGAATATACAGATTCATGAAAATGTATGGCAAACATCCTCTCAATCACTTTGCTTTTATGTTTGCATGCCTTCCACATTTCCGGTCTACCTTTTTATTGTGGGCGGGTAGGGGGTTCCTGCTTATGACTAATCCAGCACTGTGATCCACAAATGCAGACCCTTACTTCTGCAAAGAATCCTTTTGTGTTTAATGGGACCCTGTTTGGAAAGAAGGGTCTGTCTAGTAGATTCTTACAATACAAGCTATTCAGGGCAGATATCTAACTTGACTTTGCAAATCCGAGGACCCTAGCAAATTGTTAGGTGCTGTATACATAAACCACCACCATCATCACATGTAAAAGCTCTGTAGATTAAGTCAACTCATTCAGGTAAAAACACAAGGATCTTAAAGCACTCTATTTCTGAATTAATGCTGTAGCCCAAGAACTCTCTAGAATGTAAAAGTATAATTAGCCAGGCCAAAAAAGATTTTGAAGAGCAACTAGCAAAAGACTCAAAAACTAACAGCAAACATTTTTTTAAGTACATCAGAAGCAGGAAGCCTGCCAAATAATCAGTGGGGCCACTGGATGATTGAGGTGCTAAAGGAGCACTCAAGGACGACAAGGCCATTGTGGATAAGCTAAATGAATTCTTTGCATTGGTCTTGACTGAAAAGGGTGTGAGGGAGATTCCCACACCTGAGCCAAATCTGAGGAACTGTCCCAGATTTGTCAATAGAAGAGGTTTTGGAAAACTGGTAAATTAAACAGTAATAAGTCACCAGGACCAGATGGTATTCACCCAAGAGTTCTAAGGAACTCAAATATGGAATTGCAGAACTACTAACTGTGGTATGTAGCTGATCATTTAAATCAGTTTCTCTACCAGATGACTGGAGGGTAGCTAATGCGACACCGATTTAAAAAAAAAGGCTCCAGAAGTAATCCTGGCAATTATAGTCCGGTAAGCCTAATTTCAGTACCAGGCAAATTAATTGAAACTCTAGTGAAGAACAGAATTATGAACACATAGATGAACACGATTTGTTGGGGAAGAGTCAACATGGCTTTTGTAAGAGGAAATCATGCCTCACCAATCTACTAGAATTCTTTGAGAATGTCAACAAACATGTGGGTATGGGTGAACCAATGGGTCTAGTGTACTTGGAATTTCAGAAAGCCTTTAAAGAAGACCCTCACCAAAGGTTTTTAAGCAAAGTAAGCAGTCATGGAATAAGAGGGAAGGTCTTCTCATGGATCAGTAACTGGTTAAAAGACAGAAAGCAAAGGGTAGCAATAAATGTTCAGTTTTCAGAATGGAGAGAGGTAAATAGTGGTGTCCCCCAGGAGTCAGTACTGGGCCCAGTCCTATTTAACATATTCATAAATGATCTGGAAAACAGGGTAAACGATGAGGTGGTAAAATCTGTAGATAATACACAATTACTCAAGATAGTTAAATCCAAAGCAGACTGTGAAGAGTTACAAAGGGATCACATAAAACTTGGTGACTGAATGACAAAATGGCAGATTAAATTCAATATTGATAAATGCAAAGTAATGCAGATTGGGAAACATAATCCCAATTATGAATACAAAATGATAGGGTCTAAATGAGCTGTTACCACTCGAAAGAGATTTTGGAATCATTGTGGATAGTTTTCTGAAAACATCTGCTCAATATGCAACGACAGTCAAAAAAGCTCACAGAATGTTAGGAATCATTAGGAGAGTGATAGATAATAAGACAGAAAATATCATAATGCCACTATATAAATCCATGATATGCCCACATCTTGAATACTTCATGCAGTTCTGGTCACCCCATCTCAGAAAAGATATATTAGAATTGGAAAGGATACAAAGAAAGGCAACAAAAATGATTAAGGGTATTGAACAGCTTTGGTGTGAGGAGAGATTAAAAAGACTGGGATTCTTCATCTTGGAAAGGAGACGACTAAGAGGGGATATGATAGAGGTCTATGAAATCGTGAATGGTGTGAAGAAAGTGAATAAGGAAGTATTATTTACCCTTCACATAACACAAGAACCAGGGGTCACCCAATGAAATTGATAGGCAGCAGGTTGAAAACAAACCAAAGGAAGTACTTCTTCACACAATGTACTGTCAGCCTGTGGAACTCATTGCCAGGGGATGTTGTGAAAGCCAAAACTAACATGGTTCAAAAAAATAATTAGTTAAGTTCATGGCTATTAGCCAAGAGGATCAGCGATGCAACCCCATGCTCTAGGTCCCCCTCATCTCTGATTGCCAGAAGCTGGGAGTGGGTGGCAGGGAATGGAACATTCTATGATTGCCTGTTCTGTTCATTCCTTCTGAAGCATCTGACATTGCCCACTGTTGGAAGACAGGATACTGGGCTAGATGGACCATTGGTCTCACCCAATATGCCACTTTTATGATCTAGATAACATAGGAAGTATGTCACAATCTGCTTCTTGATCTACTGTGTATTCTCTCATAGAAGAGGCTTGTGACTAAGTCATAATTGACCCCTCTGTTTCTACTCAGTTTTCCATTGATGAACTCCCCATTATTAACTATAATGGGAATTCTGTCTGAATAAAGATTGAGTAAAGTTAGCAAGGACTAAGTAGGGACCTCTAGATTTGGTCCATGGTATAAAAATCATGTGATTGAAAATGTATATTTAAAATAACACTGTCCTAACTGCAAAACATTTACAGGCAAAGTTAATTACAAAAAACAATGATTAAAATCATTCTGAGAACAGGCTTTGCCAACTGGACTTCATAAATGATCCTGGGTGGATCAGACTAATTACAGTACATGGCACAAATCTTTCATAAATAAAATACCATTGATGTTTTCACACTAATTGTTCTGTAACTCTAGCCCCAGATGTCCAGGAGTAGTTGTACTAAAACACTGTAAATCAATTTAGCAGTTCAGTTCACACACAGTGACAGATTTTGTGACAAACCAGATCATATTTCCTATATAGACAGACTCAGCTAAGCAGTCTGTAGGAATAGAGTAATTTGAACGGTAATTTGAATATATTAAAAAAATATATATGATTCATGTTCTCATTTTTAGCCAACTCCCAGTAACAACATTCTCCTCTTTTCTACTAAAAATGTTACCTCTCCAGGCAAGTCCATTATATAAATTACAAAGAGCAACAGGAAAACTTTAACCAATTAACAAAAATAATTGATTATATCATTCTGTGAAGGGGATATTTCCACATGTTGTCGGTATCAACTGTTTAAGAACACTTTACTAGAAGCCCAAAAAGCCAAAATCCCACAAATGAGGAAGAAGGCCTTATTGGTCAAAAACAACAACCGTGTTTGAAGAGGAAGTGAAGGCAGTTATACATTTAAAAAATGTGTAAGAAAGGAGAAATTGACAGTAATGAATATAAATCAGAAGCTAAGAAGAGTAGAAAAGTGATAAGGGAAGCAAAGAGACACAAGGAGATATCTATGGTCAGCAGAATTAAAGACAATAAAAAGGAATTTTTAAAGCATATTAGGAAAAGAAAGAATCCTAACAATGGTGCTGGTCCATTACAAAATATTAGAATTATGAATAATAATGCAGAAAAGGCAGAAGTGTTCAATAAATATTTCTGTTCTGTATTTGGGAAAAATAAATGATTTAGTCATATCATATAAATCTTTCCATTCTACTTGTATCTCAGGAGGATGTAAAACAGCAGCTCCTGAAGTTAGACATTTTTAAAATCAGCAGGTCTATATAGCTTGCATCTAAAACTTTCAAAAGAGATGGCTGAGGACCTTGCTGGAGCGTTAATGTTGATTTTCAATGAGTCCTGGAACACATAGGAAGTTCCTGAGGATTGGAAGAAAGCTAATGTGCAATATTTAAAAACAATAAACGGGATGACCAGGGTAATTATAGGCTTATCAGTCTGACATTGATCCCAGGCAAAATAACTGGGTGGCTGATTAATAAAGAATTAAAGAAGGATAATATAACTAATGCCGATCATCATGGGTTTATGGAAAATAGATTCTGTCAAACTAATGATATCTTTTTTATGAGATTTCCAGTTTGGCTAATAAGGAGGTAGGGTTGATGTAATATTCTTATACTTCTGTGTAAATATAAAATAAATATAAAATTAACAGGGCACACATTAAATGGATTAAAAACTGACTAACTGATAGGTTTCAAAATGTAATTGTAAATGGGGAATTGTCATTGAGTGGGTGTGTTTCTAGTGGGCTCCCACAGGGATTGGTGCTTGGCCCTAGGCTATATAACATTTTTATCAATGACCTGGAAAAAAACCCATAAAATCAACACTGATAATGTTTGCAGGTGACACAAAAAGTGGGGGAGTGGTAGAGTGATATAGAGTGGGGGAGTGGTCACTGATATAGAGAAATATGGATCACTTGAGAAACTGGGCACAGGCAAACGCCATGTGTTTTAATATGGCTAAATGTAAATGTATACCTCCTACGAACAAAGAATGTAGGCCATACTTACATGATGGGGGACTTTGTCCTGAGAAGCAGTGATTCTGAAAAAGACTTAGGGTCATGGAGGATAATCAGCTGAACATGAGCTCCCAGTGTGACACTGTGGCCCATAGGACTACCGCTACTCTTGGATGTATAAAAAGGGAATCTCGAGTAGGAACAGAGAGATTATTTTACCTCTGTATTTGGGACTGGTCTGACCACTGTGGAATACTGTGTCCAGTTCTGCTGTCCACAATTCAGAAAAGATGTTGATAAATTGGAGAGGGTTCAGAGAAGATCCACGAGAATGATTAAAGGGGGCTGTTCTAGTCAACAGAGTACACCAATTCAACCTCCATTTTCAAGTGGGCCGCAAAAAATAAATAAATTTGAGAACCACTAACCTAGAACAGTACTGAAAGAAAAGTATCTCTTGTAGTAAAGTAACACTAAAGATTTACTTTGTAATGAAATAATACAAAATAATGATTTCCCAGAGTATTGGATCAGTGTTGCTTTTTTGATAATGTGATATTAGTTTTACCATAAATTTCCCTTTGTTTGATAAGCCCTTGCTGCTGATTTTAGCTGACTCAGTTATAGATTAGTTCATTAAAAATAATCTGGTCCTCCCATACTCTGCAAGTTGACAGGGTCTTAGTTCCACAGAAGGCTGATCTGTTCATCATCAAAATCATTTATGCCACAAAAGCGAGGCATGTGGATTCAACCAGTGCTGGTCCCTTGGCGGAGACCTAATGCTAGTGAGTTATCTGCTCCCCGAAGATCACTATGGGAGGTCTAGGTTGGACATTAGGAAAAAGTTCCTAACTGTCAGGGTGGTTACACACTGGAATAAATTGCCTAGGGAGGTTGTGGAATCTCCATCTCTGGAGATATTTAAGAGTAGGTTAGATAAATGTCTATCAGGGATGGTCTAGACAGTATTTGGTCCTGCCATGAGGGCAGGGGACTGGACTCGATGATCTCTCAAGGTCCCTTCCAGCCCTAGAATCTATGAATCTCTATGAATCTTAATTCATCAGATGGCTTAAGCAGTAAAACTTGACTGTGCTTTCAATTCAGTAGCCTTGAGAGAAACTCTAAATCCTACTTTGTTAAGAAATGGAGGTAAAAAAATTAAAAATATACCACTAATATAATTCCATTGATTCCAATGGATTTACTCCTGATTTAAACCTGCTTAACCAAGAGCAAGAATAGATCTATGGTATTTACTTAGCAGGGCTTCAGTCACCATCCATCAGAGAGCTTCATGCCTTTGGTGGCTTTAGTTCCTTAATCCTCTTCCCTAACTAGCTAATGTCCTTTGCTGATCCCAACTGGGGAAAGACACATACCCAACATGTGTCTCAACCTCCTCAACAATACTAGGTAATGGTAGAAGCTATTTCTGGCATAAATAGTTGTCAATGGCTGATATCTAGGGTAACCATACATCCCGTTTTGGCTGGGACAGTCCCCCTGTCCCAGACATCCTGACTTTTTTGGCAAAACTGGGTATTTGTCCCATTTGCTCTTGACAGAGGGCAGTGGTATGGGGTACTCAGAGGTCTTCCAGGGGGTACATCAACTCATCTAGATATTTGCCTACTTTTACAACAGACTACATAAAAAGCACTAGCGAAGTCAGTACAAACTAAAATTTCATATAATTACTTGTTTATACTGCTCTCTATACTATACCAGTGGTTCTCAAACGTTTGTACTGGTGACCCCTTTCACACAGCAAGCCTCTGAGTGCGACATCCCCCCCCCCCTTATAAATTACAAAGTTTTTTATATTTAACACTATTATAAATGCAGGAGGCAAAGCGGAGTTTGGGCAGGCTGACAGCTCATGAGCCCCTGAGGGGCCCAACCCCAAGTTTGAGAACCCCTGCTATACATTGAAATGCAAGTACAATATTTATATTCCAATCGATTTATTTTATAGTTATATGGTAAACATGAGAAAGTAAGCAATTTTTCCGTAATAGTGGCTGTGGCACTTTCATATTTTTATGTCTGATTTTGTAAGCAAGTAGTTTTTAAGCAAGTAGTGAAACTTGGGGGTAAGCAAGACAAATCAGACTCCTGAAAGGGGTACAGTAGTCTGAAAAGGTAGAGACCCACTGCCCTAGGCACAGAGGAACAAAAGCAAACAGGACAAATGCCAAGTTTTGTCAAAATACTGTAACATCCATGACGTTGGCATGGGTGAGCAGTGGCGGGGGGGGCTCAAGCTGCCAGCTCCGCACGGGGGTTGGGGGAGGGATGTATGTCTCAGGCCATCAGCCCTGCCTGGGGTGCTTGGGCAAGCGGTGATGCCCAGCAATTCTGGCCAGTTCTGTGCCAGAGGGGGGGCCTTTGGCCAGCACCTTGAGGTGTCCCGTTTTCACTTTGGGGAATATGGTCACCCTACTGATATCAGGAAAAATCCCATCAGCCAAGCACAGAATAGTGTATTTCCCAATAAGGATCAATCACTATAATCTCTCTCCATGTTCCTTGAGAACAGAGAAGTAGCACGTAACATGGTGAATGTTATCACTTTTAAGAAGAAATACCTGTTAATTGGGGGAACAAACAACAGTCTTCAACCAAAGAAGCTCCAGCTATAGATGATTTTATTTCCAAGTCTGTATTTGGATGTAGTTCAGTAGTAGAAAAAGAATTTTCTTCATTCCTCAGAGTATTTGGTGATTTCATTCCAACAGTCTGCAAACAAAAGAACGATCAAAAAGAAAACTTATCATTGAGTTACCATCACAAACATTGAAAGCTATGTAAAACCTGATCCTGCACATTTGAAGTGAATGAGAGTTTTGCCATTGACTTCAGTAAAGCAAGATCAGACCCATAATGTATATAGTATCCTTCATAAAGGTCCACAGAACATTTCACAAAGAAAACATTAGGCAACCCAGTTTCTACTGTGATTTCTTGCATTAGGGAAGGGGTTCTCAAACAGGGGGTCGGAACCCTCTGGGGTCACAAGACCCCTTTTGGGGGGGGGGTCACGAGCTGTCAGCCTCAACCGCAAACCCCGCTTTGCCTTCTGCATTTATAATGGTGTTAAATATATAAAACACGTATTTTTAATTTATAGGGGGGGGTCGCACTCAGAGACTTGCTGTGTGAAAGGGGTCACCAGTACAAAAGTTTGAGACCCACTGCATTAGGGGCTCAATCCTGCATCATCCTGAGCACTCTGACCACAATCCAACAACGCACTTATGCACATCAGCAGTATTGACTTCAATGGAACTATACACATGCTTAAAGTTAAGCACACACTTTGTTGGACTGAGGCCAGAGTGATCAGCACAATGCAGGATTGAGCTCTAGGAATCTATAAGCAGACAGACAGACAGTTGGATAGGCCAATTAGTTTAGAAGGTGAAAATCAAGGCCAAGATTTTCAAAGTGGGGCTGTTACAAACCCATGTAAATTGGAGCAGGCCCAAATAGAGGTTGAATTGGTGTACTCTGTTGACTAGAACAGCCCCCACAGGCCCATGGGGCATCACCAAGATGGTTTACATTCACTTTTATTCCTCCCCATATCCTCAGATGCGCTGAGTAGAGCGCTACTTTACATCTGAGGTTCTGGACCACAGTATCTATAAAAAGTAGCCACATTGGAAGGGTGTTAACTATTGAAATGGTTAAATTGGGGGTGGGGGGAAGCTACAATTTACCCTAACATAGTTTCCCCATAAAGCCTCACCACGAGAACTCTGAACTTGGAAACCAAGTTGGCCCTAATTACTTCTTGTTAATTGAGCATATAAATAGCAAACCCATTTTTAAATGCATCCGATATGCATCCGAAGAAGTGGGCTGTAGTCCACGAAAGCTTATGCTCTAATAAATTTGTTAGTCTCTAAGGTGCCACAAGTACTCCTGTTCCCATTTTTAAAGTGGCTGTTTTTGTAGCTATTGCAAGTTTATTTGGTTGAAGTGTTGGTTTTTTGTAGTTGTTTATAAAATATCTCTGTAATTGAGAGGAAACAGTAAAAACTCATTCTTAAATACTTAACAAGAAAAACACCCACATGCTCAGAGAGTTAGCTCAACCTTTTACACCTAAGAAAGCCATTAAAGTCACAATTCATTGCTGCTCTGACCTGGTAGAGCCATTTGCAGCACTCGAAAGTGTGTGGAAAATTATTATTAATTTGTATCACTGTAGTGCCCAGAAGCCCTAGTCATGGGCCAGGACCCCATTCTGCTAGGCAATGTGCAAACACAGAAAATGCTAACCATCGGATTCACTAGCATTTTACACTCATCTTGCACTTATTTTGCATTGGGGTAAGTGATGACACATGATGTAGGAAAATAGTGAATAAGGCCTCAGAGCTCTTCTTTTTCTAACTTAGCCTTTTCCTTTTTTGGCTCAGATATGGATTCCTGATTTTTATATAGATGTAGAAATTTCATAGCTATCTATCTCTGTATAGTTACACTGGTGGGAACAATAATAGAAATGTGAATTAAATAAACACCCTTAAAAAGTTTGAAACTGACTTCTTTGTAATAAGAAGCAGACATTCTATGACCTAAACTGCTAAGCTTTTGGTTACAATATGTATTAGCATTGAGAAGTATTGTTTTGACCACTGGAGGGCTCCTGTATTTTAAATTTTTAAATAAAAGCATTAAACAACAGCTGGCCCCATCTAGAACTGACTGAATAATTTGCAACTAGCAATCTATTTGATGAATATCATCTTTCCTTCTGTCTATACTGTCTGCAGACAGATTGTGAAACTATCAAATGTATTAATTATTCAAAATTATTCACAAATGTCTTCATAGAATGTTTCCTGATTTGTAAATCACTCAACTGTTGACATTACAATTAAATATACACCTCACAATTTTCACTGTAACTAACATACCTTAAGTAGTGAGCATAAACTTTGAATTTTATATTCACTTGTACCAGTTGCAGTTTTCAATGGCCTAATCCAAAGCCCCTGGAAGTCAATGGAAAGGTTCTCATTAACTCTATAAGGTTTTGGATCAGGACACGTTTGCACATTATTCAGTAGTTACACAATTTCATCAGCAGGGAATAGAAACAAACCCCGATAGCTTACATCAATAGTTAATGCAGCTAGAATTTTCAAATTTTACATTCACATTCACAATTCAAATTTCCCTTTTAGTGAATCTTTGAGCTAAAAATTTGATTTTCATGAGTTTTTGAGCTAGGAAAGCTTGAGTGCTCAATTGTTTGTAGAAAGCAACACAGCCAAATAGTATTTCACTTTCAAATTCAAACACACAGCTCTCAGCTCATTGATCCTCACTGGGTAAACAAGTGACAATCAGAGTAAATTGCAGGCTATTTATCGGACCAACTTCTGTACTCTGAGTACCTTTCTCAGGCCTGGGGAAGAGCTCTGTGTAGTGTCTCTCTGACCAACAGAAGTAGGTCCAATAAAAGATATTACCTCACCTGCCTTGTGTCTCTAATATCCTGGGACCGAAATGCTATGACAACACTGTATAGGCTAATTACAGTCTATTTAATAATGGGCCAGATCCCCTGATGAGGCAAATCAGTAGACCTCTGTTGAAATCAATGGAGCTGTGCCAATTCACCCTGAGGATGTGGCCTTATATAGCTATTTATAATCTTTAACTGTCTAACTTGTGGGACCACCAAAGCCCTTCAGATTCCAGAGTTTCAATAAGAGGCCAAAGATATCAGCATAGAGGTCCTGTGCCTCCACATCGGCTCTATGGCCTTGACAGCTCTGGCCCTGGTAATAAGCATCAATAAGTGCTAACAGGACTCCTCTGGCTGCAGTTGCCACTGAAACCCCATCAAAGTTATATCCCTGCCATGGACAGGGGTCTACATGAAGGACCCAGACTGGTTACCTTTCCTGGCCACAAGGGAGAGGTTGTCAATCCTCCAGGCTCTGCCCTAGTTTACCTACTTCTCCCCTGCCTGGCCATCTTCCTACACGTGGGTCCTCAGACCAGCAAAGAAGCCTTCACAGGATTTGGAGGAAGGTGACATAGAGATGACTTCCCAGTTTTTTTGCAGGACAGTGAGAGAGAGAGAGAGAGAGAGAGAGATCCTTCCTATGCAGAGATTTGGGGACTCCATTCATCTCCCCCAATAGGTAAGTGTCACTTCTTATATAAGACTTTTTTCTTCCTCCCCACAACTTGCAAGTCCTAATCACGGTGAGGATATTCGAAGCAGACAATACAAACCTGGCATAATTTCCATTAGAAAGCCAAATTAAACATGTCATGTTGACAAAAATCTCCTAATGCAAATTAAAAAAGCGACTTTATGCAATCCTGATGAAAGATTAATGTTTCATATGCACTTTTAAATGAGGAGGTTGCTGGGAGCCCGAGAAACTAAAAACCTAGAACTCTCTGGTCTCCATAAAAGACTTACTAAAGTAAATATTTATTTTCTAAAATGATAGGCTAAGCTCATGAAGTAATTGCTTTCTAGTTCTTTTTGCAGCAGTGACCAAATGTCCTCTTCACAACTCCAGCATCCACATAAACAAATTCTTATTTTTACAGATTTTAACTTTATTTGTAAAAAAAATTATGAAGGAACTTTAGTGTGAGGCCTTCATTCCCTTAGGCTCTTAATTTTTTGGTAAACATTTGTTAAGTGCCACCAACAATGCACTCATGCACTCTATGCATGATTGCGCTTTCACACAAGACCCCTGCATTTATGTATACATTTACCTCTTGAGTTATTGCTGCATTGATAAAAGCTGGCTTTGATTTGCAGTACACTGCTATTGTGCTCACTTTACTGCTCCCTAGTGTGCTACATTATCTATTTTTTTGGGAGGTGGGGGGTGTACAGCTGCCCATCCCCGTGGTATCTGAGCATATTCAACATAAAATTGATTGACAATAGCAAAGTCCTTAGTAGGCTTCATGGAGTCTGTGGGTCCTCTTCTCCTTTTTGAGTTACAGAAAGCTCTCCCTGGGGTGTTTTTGTGTTTGTTTGTTTTTGTCTGGATTTCTTTTCAGTAGCGGAGAGGAAGAAAGGTCGAATGTCATTCTAGCAGAAAACCTAATAGGAACATTCAGCAGTAACTTGCTAAAGGTGGTCAGAGTCTGGATCTGCCTATTGTCCTCTGGAAGTGTGTCCCACAGTTGCATCCCCTCATCTGAGAATGATTTTTGTGCCCAGTTCTCCCATACTTCATGCTAGGCTTTGTGATCTGCATTGTTCCAAAGGACACAATTGTATAGGTGGTGCATAGATGGAGATGTGGACACAAAAATATAGCAGAAAAATCCCTAAAGTAAAACTCCAGAATCAAATTTCTTTACTAAAGCTTTACAGAGAAAGCTAGAGTTAAGGTTACACTACAATACAGACTTCCATTTTTATGTGGTCACTACCAGAGGTGGACTAATGTATTGCAATGAATAATTTATCCAATGAATGTAGCCACTTTTTCTGTTGATGGAAAATCATCAAGCAGCTTGCAAGTTCCTTCAATTTATTTGATGTTCAATGACATATTATGGCAAATTGAATTTTTCTCTGCAAGTATTTGATATTCAGTATTGGTTATTTGAGTGGTATAAGTTAGTTGTGATTGGTCAGATGAACCACATGGGTATTAGGTGAGATGGCATTGGAGTGGCTGAGGAGCATCCAGAGGAAGAAGTGTTCCCACTCCCTGTCTGTTTCCAATATGCTG